CTTTGTATTTAATATTCACAAGGTCCTAGAAACAAACAGAATAAAAGGAGTTAACTCAGATATCTCATCTCAGAAGATTCTTAGAAGAATGTTGCTATCCTGGGATACATCACTGAAAATGTTCTATATTAAAACAGACTAGAACAGCCCCAGAAGGAATAAAGCTTTCCTCTGTGGAGGAAATGGAATAATTGCATGTGGGCAATGAAGTTGCAGCTACACCATTAAAACAAGAAAACCACTGGTAATTTTACAACAGCTCAGAAATCTCTATTGTTTAATTATGATTGTCAGTACTGGTAGGCATGAGAAAAGGCAAGAGAGCCTCAGAAGTACCCTCAAAAAACCAACATCTCAGGAAGTTCCACAAGTGCTGCTGGTTCAACTAAGCGCACACTTCTAAACATCTGTAGCGAGCAGTCGGCAACGCTTGGGCTGCCTTCACAAGCAGCTTCTTTACTTTCCTAACATGTTTGTAGTAAAACATACAGAGACAGACAACCACTCTTATTTTTGTAGAGCCAAAACCCTACAGGAAATAATAAAACTAGCGAATTCCTTCAGACATTCTAAAATAAACTCAAGAGCCTCTACAGTGCTTCGGCCAGTGAAATTCATGGAGCAGAGGGAGCCACACCAGCCTACGCAACTCCTCGAGGAAGTACTTCACCAGTCATGAGGTTGGTGCCCAAGTAATTATTTGGTTTCTAGAGTTATTGAAGAGTCTGCTAATCACAAGGCTGTGACCAGTAAAGGAAGACAAACAGCCACACAATTATTTCCCTAAGACATTCACGACTTCTTCTTCCTTATCAGGTCATTTGACTAATGTTAATGACGCCACAACTGCTCATGATACTTGAGTCAAAACCGCTGTGCTCAGCTAAGTGTCATAACCTTGGGAAGTGGAGGGGGGAGAAAAGCAAATCCACACAGAACCACCTGATTGGGTCTTAGATCTTCCAGTAGACAGCGCTGGAAGTGAAATTCTACTCCTTAGCCGGTATTCAAACTACCTTTGTAACTAGCATTTATTGTTAAGAAGTGTGCTGTGACAGTTTTATTAATGATCTGTTTCATATAAAGATTGCTGAATTAAGAGCTGAAACCATATCTTATTTAACATGGAAAGAAAAATCTGTATTCACCTCAAAACCAACTAGTTTACACAAACATTTTCAAATATCAGTGTGAATGTTTTTCCTTAGAACTCCACCTAAAGGTAACGAGAGTTGAGTAAGTAGAATTTACCCACTAGAATGAAAAACATACACCTCATTTTTTCTCCATTATAGTCAATAAAAACAGGTGGTGAGTTCTATCATTTTAAATACACTGAAATCAGAAGCTGTTCTCAAAGGCTGCAGAAGAGAACGAGTAAGACAGAGAGCAGCCTAGCATAAGGTATCTTTATTTTGAGAAAATGGAACTGCTAAGAAGCACAAAACCCAGAGGCTGAAAAAACAGCAGTACCTTACCTCACTTGCATGTATCCTGTTATTACCACCCCATGAGCTCTCTTTACCTTGTTTCTAGTTGTTTTAGACTCGACTGCATTTCCTGCAAGCGCTTGTCAGCTGCTCTTTCTCTTTGCTGGGCAGATACCACATCTTCTTCCTAGAACAAATATATGTATTATCCAGACATCACCTGAGCTTCCCCAAAGAAAAGAATGATCTACTCACATAAAACAAGTGAGAGAACAACTTGGGTTAAGTTAACATCAGCGTTCAGATAACTGACGAGCCGTTCAAGGCAATGGGAAATTACTGCTTTCTCTAGAATACCTTTCTCTGCAGTTGGCCTTGAAGCTTCTCTGTCAGCCTGGTCATTTCCTCAACCTTAGCATTTGCTGTCTGCCAATCCATTTTGGCTTGCCTGTGTAAAGAAAACAGTCTATGAATTACATCTCAATTATTGTAGGGGTAAAAACCAGCTCCATTACAACTTTGTTGAGATAGCTGTGAAGGACGGTCAGATTTCATAATACTGCTCCTACAGGGCACAAAAGGTTTCCTCCTTCTTCTCCTTATTATGTGGCACAGTGAGAGAGGAATACCAAGCTCATTAAACACTTGTCCTGTGGAAATGACTTCTTAAAGACAGCTTAACAGGGAGGTGTATGTGTGATTAAGTATTTGGGAGGACTAGGCAATCAGAAAACTTTAAGTGATTCCGTAACAAATAATTGGCCACAGACACTTCACAGAGGAATCTGTCTCAGAATTAGATTTCGTTTTTTTAAAGCAAATTGATTAGGAATTAAAAGAAAACATTAATCACTGAATAATTCAACTGATGTGCTTTGTAATCTGAATAGGTTTTACAAGATGAAACAGAAAAGGAAAAAGAAGAGGCCTAGTTAATGAATCAGGCTTCTCCCTCAGTAGAACAGCTTATTGAAACGAGCAACTCCCCTACTCCTCTGACTTAGGAACAGAAAGACATACAGAGTCCTTCACCTGAGGTGTAAGCCAATTATTCAGGCTGCAAATTAGGCTAAATTTAAAGACTAATGACTGAATGTATGATAAAGCTAAAAAAGAGCAAACAGATAAGCTAATGCAAACTGGAGCACTAAGAGTCACAAAAGAAACTACAAAACATTTAATACTTTAAAGAACCAACTTCAAGCAAAAATTCCTTACAGAAATACTGATTTTTATTTAATAGCATTAAATAAGATATGATCACATTACACCTATATGAAAATCTTAAGCACAATAATAATCCTACCAATTCTACAGCAAACACTTCATTTCAGATTAATTAATCAGAAAAGCTAATTTTGTTATAATTTCTTTAAAAAGCAAAACCAAAAATAAAAACATTATTCAGACACACTGTCCTCACTACAGGTCCAAAACTTCCATCTTACTCCATCTGAATCATGTAGCTTTCTCCTGCAAAAGGTACTGCTAAATTTATGAGGATGTTTTTGGGCAAGCAACATGATATGTAAGGTCTACCGTAAAACAAAAAAACCCAAACCCAGCATAAGAAAGGAAAAATAAGAAAAATACAAAGAGGTCATAAAACTCAGAACAGCTCAAGTATTAAAAATGCATTTTAATGACCAAAATCAGATTCAGATCAAATTCAGAGCTGTGTGTTTAACAGGCAACAAATTGGTTCTAAAGATGCAGCTCTTCCTCTTCACTGTGCAATGTATCTGTAACATAATCTTGGCAAGTTATCTCTGTTTAAAAGCTTTAAGATGCTGAAATGCAGATTCATGCTCTAGCAATGCCAAGTTTCCTTGGGTTTATATCTACATATCTTCAAAAATATTTCATTAGCATATAGATTAAAACATTTTTAGTACTCGCAGCTAAACCCAACAGTTCACGTCAGAGAAGACCATTTGATCAGACTGCTAAGCATCCCCTCTCCAGAGACGGCTCCTAGTAGTTAATTCAAGAACACAGTAATGCAGTGAACTAAATGATTAACTGTATACAACAGAGCTTCAAAACACTAAAGCGCTAACAAACGCTTTCATAAAAATTCTAGCATATAACTAAGTGAAATCTGTTCAAACCTCAATTCTCTACAGAAATACATCAAATATTACATCGTCCCTGCGCATGGCAGATCATGACCCTTTCATAGCCAGTGCAACAGTACAGTAACAGTACGCAAATACCGCAGTGCAACTGTGCTTTTTAGATTGAGCGTATGTTAACACCAATGAGAAGCAGTGACTCAGTTCTCAAACGCTTCTTAGGGAGTTTTTGCCCAAATTGATTTTTTTTTTAATCTTGGGTAAGGTCAGCTTCTGATCTAAAGAATATAAGCTAGAATCAGCCTGCAAGTAACTTGCAGCAGAACTCTTAATTTTGTCTTCTGTTTCCCCATATCACTTGCCAAAACTTAATCTAGCAGTCTTCCTTTAGGCATGCATACTGGAGGCATTTCAAGTGTTTTATGGCTACATGTGTCATATTGTATACTTGGCTGCACATTGATCTTAAAAACCTTAAATTTATCAACACATATTTATAAGCTTAGCAATATCAAAAGCTCCAAAGTGACATCAATCTAGGCCACAGAAACCTAAATCAAACCCAAATTCTCTTCTACACTAGTTGTCTTTTCTTAAAATCCACTTTTCCTCTCTGCTTGTTACTCTAATCACCATAAATCAACGTAAATCTATTAAAAACATCCAAAAGGATTAGAACTGTCTGCAATACATGCTATATAATCCATGCAAACTACATCTGTGTAACTTCATGTAAGGGAAACAACTGATGAAATTGTTCCAGACTTCTGAGAATCACTGCAGCACGCACTTCAGAGCTAATATAGAGCTGCTGTCATTAGCTCCTGAGTGTCACCTAGTACCCATTTTAGGGTTCCAAGAACCTTCAGCTGATTCGAGAGGAACATGAGTGTAATCGGTGCCTGGAGAGATGCACAATTCCTCCGAGAGCCTCTTTGCCCAAAACTGAGAACACCATGGGGACAGCAACAATGATACTTCGATCGAAGTCTAAATTCACTCACAGTTTCACAATTTATAGAACAGCAACTAACCAAAAATATGCATCTACACTTGGGCACGTGTAAATAAGAGTTCAGAGCAAGATCATCCACTACCTTTCAGTCAGTCCCAGCAACTTCTTTCTACCTTTTAATATGCCTCCTTCTTGAAGCAGTGGTTCAAGAAGAAAACATGCACTTCCCTTCTACTATCCACGCTCATTGCCACATAAGACAGTTATACAAATCCTTGTGTGTACGTGTGGCTATGAATCAGTGTTTGGCCATTCTGGTTGTCATGCCATAATCTAAATTATTTGATCAAAGTAGTATTGTTAAGGACTTTCCTGTAACTCCAAGGATCAAGCCTAAAAAGGAGTTTCCTTTTGAGAAATGAAATGAAGATGAAACCAAAGGAAATCAAGACATCTGTAATTTTGACAAAACCACACTCAAATGGCTGCTCAACCACAACCTGAATGATACCAAGTTTGTTGTTTTGGGCTTGGGGTTTTTTGTTGTTGGGTTTTTTCCTTTTTTTTTTTTTAAAAAAAAAAATAAAAACCACCCAGTGTGTTAGAAATGCAGTAATAAACTGAATGTCGACAGCATTCGTCTAAAATAAGTCCAGTTAACGCTAATTCCTTTCATACCTACTTATCGATCTGAGTATGTTGATGCAAACGCAAAGATTTATAGATAAATGCGATACAAAACCAGTAATTCATTACTAACAACCTCCACAAAGAAAGAAATTAAAAAAAAGTAGGCATGTGAAAATGTGTTCTTTCCCTTTTAAGAATTAAATTGTGGCCTGTACATGCAAATTTGAAATGATGACTGGGTTTGGATATACTTGATTTTAGCAAATACCCTAAGTACCACCTTGATCTTTGATTGCTCTTCACAACATTTTCCTCCTCCAAAACATACTATTTTTGAAAATAGTTTTCCATGGAAAAATCCTGGATAATAAAAATGGGAGGTGCTAACAAGTCACCCTCAAAAACACATTCAGTGATCGAGGTAACTTGGTATTTTTAAACAGGTTCTGGTCCCAAATTCATTGTATAAAGGAAATGTAAAAATAAACACTGTTTAAAACAAACAAAACTCCTCTACTAAGTAAACCATAATGTACCAAGCAGGGAGGACAAGACAGGACAGGTTAATACTAGAAGCAGCTGATTTTTATGGCTCTAACAGCAAGAAAGTTTGGATACAACCAACCTTGAAAGAGAGACCAATTTTTTTACATTGGTTAATCAATGTTGAACAACGACCAATATTCAACACCAATTAATCTGTTCATCCACTCTCAACCTGTATCTTTTACTGCAGGTATTGTGACACAGTAACTTTACAATCTACGAATAGCACAACTAGACTTACTAAACAGATGCTGAAATTTGTGTCACACCCAATCTTTACAGTGCTAAGCACTCAGCATGACAACAGACACCAATTGCTCTTTCTGTAATGTTTTGTATGGGTTTGGAAGAGAGGGAACATCTGATGCAGCCATTCTCTCTTGGTGGGTTAAAATCAGTAAGAGCAGGCATTCAGCCACCCTAGGTTTGTGAATACTAGCATTACCTGCAAAAGCTGCACACAAAATTGAGGGCATGAACACACATGCATGCACAAACATACAGAGACATCTTTAACTGTTTACATAAAAATGGAAATTATTTTCAGCCTTTTGGGGCTGATGTTCTTTAAAATCAAAAGATAAAACCAATTAAAACATTGTAGCAGTCCAACCATATTTGATATTTTAGTCACAGCATCAAAGGAGATTACAGTAACTAAAATGAAAGGAAAATTTGATAATTAAACTAAAATTCAAGTACATTATAAATTTTAAGCTTATAAACATGAAAGTTTTATTTTAAAAAGCTTATTTAAAGCTTCAGGTAATGCTACACAAAAAAAATAATCACAATACTGGTTGATAACGAATCCATTTCCTTTTTATTGTTGGTCCACAAATCCACTGTTTGCTGAAATGAAATTTTAGTTTGACCTGAACCATCACTAATTAAAAGAGTTAGCAGATATAGTAAACTGGTATTGAACTGACTTGGGCTATAAATACAAAAAAAAATCATGAAATTCTGTCACAGGTACTTTTCTAATTTTCCTTGAAATACTTCAGGAATATACTTAACACTACTCTTACCTCTAACTTCCAAAGAGCCTATGGTTTAGGGCTCTGTATAGAGAAAGAGTGAATGGAATTTTTAATAAAACACATTGAAACTACTTTGAATATTCAAGCTTCAGAACTGTAATGAGTAATTACGTACCTAGAATTTGAGCAAGTTGTATTCTAATGAAAACCTATCTTCATACTCAATTTTGCTGCGACACTGACACTTTATTCCTTTTAAATCAAAGGTCAAATGTGGACTATTTCCAGAAATGGCTGAACCAGACAACACTAACTGGAAATATGCCACCCAACCACTAATGATGCACACATTTCTAACACACATTAAGAGGCATTAATTAAAACCATCATAACAATCACTATCAAGTCAGTTTGCAGTACAAACAAGGCCCACGGTACAGCAGCAGGTTAGAAAAAGCTATAGAAAAAATATTTAATAATTTTTTAAATTGCCTGGTTTATACCTCAGTTGTTTTCGTAGCTGCTGTAGTTCCACATTTTGTTCTGTTACAGTTTTCAGAAACTGTTGATTGCTCTGCAAAATAAAGAGATATTTGTAACATGTTCCTTATTGTATCAAAAATATTATATATTCAGAGATGTTACAGGGCATTTCTACAGAATACAGTACTATAAAAATAGCAAATAAGGTCTATTTAACACTGTGGCTGGTCTCCCAAGTGCCAAGGTTCAGACAACAGATTTTAGAAAGGGAAATACAGAGGGCTGTTACTTAACCCTCCTTTCCTTTGCCCACATTTTGGTAGTGCAAGAACTTCCCGAGATGAAAATTTTAATAGCTCAGACCTACCATGTGCACTCCCATCTAGTTTAAGTGTCTAGAACACCTTGTCACAACGAGCACCACAGTACACCGCGTGTTGCTGGAAAGCATTCCTTTGTTTTAGGGACACAAAACAATGACCAAGTGCTTCCGCTTCATTTTTTCTGTGCCAGCCATACTGGAGGTGTCATTCTCCTTCAACCGCCTTCTCATTTGAGAATAATTTAGTATTTTTGTTACCCTTGCAGCCTTTTCTACATCTTATGTATACCTTACACAGAGATATTAGAGATACCACAACTGCAGGCAGCGTTCAAGATGCTACTGTACTGTGGACTTAAGCACAAAATATTCCTCTTCCAGTAATTACTAACATTCATCTCACTTTTTTGACTGTTGCTAAGAATTGTTCTCAGACACCTCCTGCTTTTAACGCACCCATTCTGACTGACAACAGCTAATTTCAAGACCACCACAGAGTACCCAAAGCGAAAGCTCCCTCTTGCCCACATGCATTATTTTGCTTTTATGAACGCCGGTGGAGTGTCAAACAAAATTCACTCAAATACTCAACACCACAAGACCTTTCTGCAGAAACCTGCAGTTTACTTCCATTTTCACTACCCTAAACAGTTTAACACCGTTGCCTCAATACTGAATCTCATTTCCGGAACATTTATAAATATGCTGAACCACTAACACGAGCACATCTAGGAAACACAGCTGTCTTACCACAATAAAAAGCCTGACTAACTACTCCGTCTTTTCACTTCCTTGTGAAAAGGAACACTTGTCAGGTTGTTAGTCCAAGAAAGGGCATGCTTCTTTATCCCATGACATCTTCATGCCTTTGGTAACAGACCTTGCCAAATTTTTTCTGGATAATGCAAACAAATGGATTACCTTTATCTTAACATCATCTATTTCACCTCTTTCAAAGAGTTAACATACTTCACCCTCTCCTCTCCACATCATCTCTTTCCAATGTTATGATTTTAAGCATTCTGTGATGCTGTTTTTTTGAGATACCTACTACTGATTTGCTTGTAACACAAATCAAACAGTCTGTAACTTCCAAATACTCAGCAAAACTGTTTTAAAAGCTCGTTGTTGTATTTGCTTGAGATTCTTTTCAAACAGCAACCCCCAGTAACTCTAAAGTACCTCTTTAGAGAACAGTTAATTTTGAGACCATCACTAATGTAAGGCACATTTCCCTCTCTGAGTGTGTTATTTCGCTTTTATTTAAAAACTGATGAATTAGCTTGTAAACAGGACAACTGTTCACAAGACACAATTCTGCAGTCATCTACCACATCCAATCAACACTGGTAAGGGCTCAACTGGACTATTGTACTGTTTCCAGCACCACAGTTCAAGAACGATGGCACAATCAGAAAGAATTTAAAGCTGAGCAGGAAAATGATTAGACATCTTAAAACCATTGTCAAAGAACATTTAAAGACTTGACTTGAACAGAATAGAAAAAGCAGGGAAAGGGGAAAGATGGCAATATAAACGTTTTCAGTAACAGAGGCACTGTGACAAAGAACATATCAATCTTTCCTTCATACCTACAATATTCCACACCAAAAAGATGTTTTTGTATTTTACCAAGAGGTCAGATGTGAGGAAAAAACATTCCAGTGTGTCCTGGTTTGAGCCAAAACAGAACTACAGACAAAAGAGAGTAGACTGCCTAGAGCAGAAGTCTTTTTGCACTGCCAGTATCCAAGACAAACATGAATCAAAAAATCACACAGGAATCGCGTATTTCAGAGAAGCAGCTGCTCAGCCAGAATCGTCACCAAGCCTTTCACCTTGATTTTTCTACAATATTAAAATTGTTTGTCAATCCCACGAAGTCCTAGGCTAAAGCTTAGGGACATAGACGTCTCACAATCTACATGTGGCTGAAGATGATCAGAGCTCAGAAAAGGTCAACACCAAAGACACTGAAGCCATCAGTGCCAAACTGGGACTCGATAACCACGTGGCAGAGCCAGACTACACAAGAGGTCATCATTTAAAACATTTTTCCTTTGAGAAGACGGTTTTGAGTGTGTGACTGGAGTACACTCACCACATAGCAAAATTCTGAGCGTAAGCTTACCACTGACTTCTTGAAGGAACAGCTCACATAACATTAGGAGCTAAACTCTCAACCACCCTGACCTGTTATTTGGAGTTCAGGAAAAGAGCCATTACTACTTGATTTTTGACTGGTCCCTACAGAAGTCTGCAAATCTGAGTGGCACAATTTCTTTTTCAACCAGGTATGTCTGAAGGATTTTTTGCCTTTCTTTTATGCTTGTAAGGCTCTAGTAGGAAAATAAGTCATTTATTAGGTCACTGTTCAGAAGGTTTTACTTACCAACTCTATCTTCTCATTGGCTATATGCAGTTGCCGAGTCAACTGTTGAAAGCCAGTCAGTTGATCCTAAAAAGGGAATTCAGAGCTTCTTATTATCATCATAAAGAGTGTGTAATTAGGCAGTTTCATAGTCAACTGAAAACATTTTCAAAAAAGTTTATGCAAGTTGCAGGCAATTCAATACGCCTTTGGAGATTTTAATTAGATTGCTTTTAGCTGTTGACCTAGTAATTTGGAAAATTAGAATTACTACTGAAAAATATATCTGAATTTCACTCAGTCACAAATTGCCTCCTTCCAAAACTCATACACACTTACTATCAACATACAACAGCAGAGCATAGAGAGGACTCACGTCCTCGAGCTGGAACATCTACTAATTGTGCTGTGTTTATCTAAGAATCTCAAGGTCAAGTATATGCCAGAAACCTATTCCAACAAGTCTTTTATTTCCTGTGTCCAATATTTAAAACATCCTCTCTCATCTTTGCTTTCTGTCCATTTTAATTCTAGTTAGTTTTACCTATTTCTGTTTACCTCTGACAGCTATTTTCTGCTCCTCCACTAAAAGCAAAACCTTTATTTAGCTGAACAGACATTTTCCATGGGAGGCCAGTAGCATTTAAGAATAAAAGGTAGTTCAATGTCTTTCTTGTTACAATGGCATTAAAACTCACCAAGAATTTAGTTACCAATGGAAAGTGGAACCTGACAG